ACGCTCCAGTGCAGCCGCCATCTTAGCGTCGATACGCGATCGCTACGATGCCCTTCAATTCCCAAACCGGCTGGCTTTCGCACGCAGCATAATCTATTTTTGGTTTCACTTTTGCACACAGTACGCTGGCACAGCATGCGTACGCTGCCGTGCAAACGAATCCTTTTTCGGAGCGCTCTCTTGCAGTGCTTCGTGTCCTTCTCTCGGTAGTTTCTTCTCCAAAGTAGTGTTGTTTATGTGGTGAAAGAAGTAACAACAAACCAGGTCTCTCTCCCTTCTTAAAGTTGTCGCGGCAGCTGGCCAGCTGTCCGCGTCGGAGTGTGCATGTATTGTACTTAGCAAGTAAAGTAGTTTTATCACATAAAATTGGTGCCGAAACCCGACCCTAGACCCTGTCATCATGACACCTGCTGTGCCATCGGTTAAGGCCCTCGGTAGGGCGCTTGCAGTGCACATCGGTGCGTTCGAGGATGAAACACGCCAGTGCGACGCTTGGCTGGCAAGTGCCCATGCAAGCAATCACGACGGCAATGGCAGCGACAGTGAGTCGTACGCTACAGCATCAGATTCACCAACATACTGTAAACTGAGAGCATTCCTCACCGAATTCAAAGAGCATGTGGATAGATTAAGTAGCCTCGTTGAACGGTATGGGGTAGCGGTGTACGAGTGGAATCCCGTCGACAAAGACGGCAAGAAAGCAAAAAAATTGCCTTGGTAGACTATGAGCTTTGGTTAACGGAAGAGGCAAAATACTGTAAACGTTTGGCCCAACTTAAGTCCATGACGGTGGAAGTGAATGAACAGGAAATGCAAACTGTAGCGGCTGGTCGGCCGGTAGAAGTCAAGAGAGAATCTGTGGAAGCGGACCGCAGTCTGCCGATCGACACCCGAGCCATCGCTGAAATTACGAAATTGCTAGCTAGCCACACCGAAACACAAAAGTCAACACAGGAATTACTCAGTAACTGTGTCGAGGGAGGTCAGTATGCCTCTGCCCTCAAAACCGTGGAGTTACCCAAATTGCAACTGAAGAAATACGGGGGTGATCCACTCAAATTTAAAGAATTCTGGGACACTTTTCGATCTACCACATGTGCAATGTACGTTTCCGTACTGTGTACAACGCGGGATAGCGTGCATGCAATCCGATTATCTGCCATGATCCTGCTGGGGAGTTGCATACGCACAACGAGCTCCTGTCTGGCAGTGCTAGTTTCACGACTCCGCTGGTCCCTAAAAACTGGCTCGGAACATCCATCGGGAACACTGCAGCGCGTGATGTGAGGTTTGGCAGCGGGAGACCCCATAGAAAGGCTATCAGGAGTTGCATGCTCTTGGGAGGTTCTACTCCAAGATACAATAGCATGAATTCTCCAAAGCAGTATTGCTGAAGTGTGCTAACTGCGGCATTAGGACAGACGAAACTCAAAATCAAACCTAGAGACTGCCACTTGTTGCTTACCGAGGTGCATTTCCTAGGTCATGTTGTATCAGCTGAGGGTATTTCCATGGACTCGGGGAATGGAAAGACGGTACAGGAATGGAAACAGCCAACCACACTAATGTTGCGAAATTCGATACGCCCATTATTTGCACCCGTTGTTGTCTCTGGCCTCGCTGTCTCGTCCTGTCCGGTGTCAAATATGGCCTGCTGTCTGTACGGGTGTGGTGCGTTGTGTGCAGTGTATGGGTGTGGTGCGTATGACGTGGTATATGTGGTGTATGCGTTGCCAGAGTGCGCGGATCTGCTTCCGCCTGTGCGAGTGCGTTTGCCGACTAGTTGTTGCGCATGCGTGGACTATGTGGAGCATGCGCTGTGCGAGTCAGGTTCGGGTGCGAGAGAGTGGTGTGATTCGTCCACGGTGTTGTTGTCTTGGTTCTTGTCACATGTATCGTACGTACTGGTCGCTCATTGGTCGTTTCGATGTGTTCGCCCTTTCTCTGTTTATAACTGTTGGTTGTTTATTATTTCCTTGTCTTTCTCCCCCGTTCTCTCCGCCACCGGTTTGCATATTGTATAACTGAGAAGTATCCATGAACCAAATGATTACCAGAACTGTTGTATGGCGTGAGGAGAAGGGCGTGGGGGGATCTACCACAACAGTGGCGCCCGACGTGACGAGTGGCTCAGTGATTTATTTCGAGCGGGCCGCGAGAGATACCGAACTAAAGTCACTCCAATCCTTTCTCGGGTTTGCATCGTATTATCGTCGGTTCATTCCGCATTTTGCTTCGGTGGCCCATCCACTGTATGACCTCTTGAGAAAGGAGACCCCATCTGTCTGGGAGGAGGCGCATCAGGTTGCGTTCCAAAAGCTGTGCACGGCGTTTTGTACAGCGCCCGTTTTGGCCTTTCCGGACTTTTCACACCCGTTCATTGTAGATACTGATGCATGCATTTCAGGCTTAGGTGCGGTGCTGTCTCGGGTGTCTAGCGATGGCCTGGAACGTCCGATAGCTTATATTAGTCGGTCGTGTTCGGCGGCAGAAAAGAATTACACCATAACCAAACTGGAGCTACTGGCGATAGTTTGGGCGTGTCGCACATTTCGACTGTCCATGCTGTTACGTCCATTTTTGTTGAGGACGGATCATGGTAGCCTGAGATGGCTGATGAATTTGAAGAATCCGACGGGACAAACTGCGCGATGGCTAAGCACGCTGGCTGAGATGTTTGCGTCAGTCCGTGTTTCTTTCTGTGTGTGTCCTTGTGTTTCTCTGAGTTTCCGTAGCGCCGTCGGTTTTCGGTTAACCGTCCAGTGTGCGTCCTGTGCTGCAAGATGCCTGGATACCCGGTCCTGCTGCCCCGGTCTTCTCGGTCGGTGCGCGCCATCGGTCTCGCCGGTCCTGGCAGCATCACTGGTTGCGCCGGCATAACCTGTTTTCTCATGCATTTGTACTTTTGTTTGTCTTGACTGTTGGGTGGGTGGCGTACTAGGTTGGTGCTGTTCTAAAAATCAAGATCCAAAGGGACAAACACAGGTGGAACAGCTCACCAGCCGGGGTCCTCCGCAAAATCTGTTGCCTGCAGGTTCCGTTGATTGGTGCACAGTTTTGCGGGGCTCCCGACTGGTGTTGCCCCTCCTGGCCTACTCGTCATGTGTTCAACAGTTGTGACCCCACTTCTTTTGTGTTTTATTGTCGCCTGTTTATGTTGCTTCACATTTAATTTCCCCTGTCTTTCTGTCTTCTTCTCCGGTCTGTCTTCTTCCGGGTTTTTTTATACACTTCACTTTTGCTTCCATCCACAGGAGTGGATGTCTTTTTTTTGGTAGGGGATAGTGTTGTACATGTGGCTGCGCGTGTAGCTCTTTGTCGTCCATGCGGCTGCGCTTGTGTCTCTTTGTCGTACCTGCTGCTGCGTTTGTGTCTCTGTGTCGTACATGCTGCTGACCCGTGGTACACGCTGCTGCGCTGTCTTGGAATGCTTAGCACATGCGGCTGCACCGTCTTCTGTCCCCTCCGTATGCATTCTTTCTCATCTCGTCCCCGTCGTATACGCATTTTCTCGTCTTGTCTCCGTTGTATTCGTCCAGTTGCCGTCCTGTGTCCGTCGTATTTGATCGTCTGCCGTCTTTGTCTTCCGTCCCATTCGGGACCAGTTGTATTATACATGTGCACCTATGTCGTCTCCACGCCCCACTTTTGAGCACTTATTTCGTCTCCATCGTCCCACTTTTTCCACGTCCCCACAATATATTCCCTTATCTTGTCTTGTGGGAGTTCAGTTCTCTCGTCGGCTCTTGAAGTGTGGTACTGAAAAGCTCTCTCTCTCTCTCTCTCTCTCTCTCTCTCTCTCTCTCTCTCTCTCTCTCTCTCTCTCTCTCTCTCTCTCTCTCTCTCTCTCTCTCTCTCTCTCTCTCGAACGAAATCGAGAACTACCACTTGCCTAGTCCTTTTGTTGTGTGGCGGGCGAAAGCAGAGAAGTAGCTCGTCCTCCAACCGAGACGACAAGTGCCTACAACCTCCTCCCCAAAACATTTCCGTTGAAAATCAACAATAAAAAAGCAAGTTCCTACCTTCTGCTAAGCCCTCGCCACTGACAGAGCATGTTGCCAATAGCAACATAAGAGCAATGGCGGCCAAGGCTGGCAAGCCATAGCAACGATGCATTCTCCCTGGAGGAGCAAAAACAAGTCCAGGCATGCGCACATCCATATAAATACAAAGACACGCATAGAGAGATGCACAGGGACACACATACGTACATGTACGTACACAAGTGCACACACGCACGCGCATGCACGCACGCACGCGTACCCAAACATGCAAACACACATGCGCACATACACGTGCATGTGCACACACACACACACACACACACACACACACACACACACACACACACACACCAAACTCACTTGCTTAGAAGCACCTCTCAAATAATAGCCCCTGGAACGACCCGGTTTGAAAACATACAAGCCCCTCTCGAATAGAAACATGTTCTACTATTTACGCAGCATGGGGTGACCAGATAGTACCATGTATGGTGAGGTCAAGTGAATACAAAACATCTCGTGCGCGTACAATTATACCAGCACACTCAGGCAGGTGAGTTGTGTTAGCTGGGGAGAGTGCTCAATGTGCCCAGACGCAGAGCCCTATGTAAGTACAGTCGAACGTCTCCTTCCCGGGGCACATTGGGACCGGGCAGTGCCCGTATCTCAAATTTGCCCGTATCATCGGACAGCTCATCTACCATATCAGTTTTTTAAATGAAGAATATTTGGCCCGTAAAGCACATGTTCAGGATAGCATGCACGCAATTCCCCTCTCCTTGAAACAGTGTATCAGCTACACCATTTGTGCAACCAAGCTACACAGCCATTGGACTGGAATGATCCACGGTCAGGAAACTTGGGAGTTTTTCAAGATACATAAATGAATGATCATTTTCACTGTTAGGAGATCCCCCGATAGGCTATACATAATATAATAATTATAAGATCTACTGCTTGCTTCGCCGTCTCTGTCTCTGTCACTGTCACTGTCTCCGTCTGTCTGTCTCTCTCGAACATCACTGACCCTTCGGCTCCCTTCTCCACCATCAGCCTACACTTCGTACATGTACCAAGTAGACACTGACCTGCTATCGCCTACAAGCCTACGGACAAGGTTCGCTCACTACCCTCGAAGCGTCATACGGTATTATTACACTCGCAGGCTCATCGATTGTCTTCGTTCATTCGCATTGCCAGCACCTGGATCTCGCCAATCTCTTCGGTACTTTTCCGTTCGGGCGTGGTGAATGCATAAGAAGATGCCCCAGGCTATTACTGTATTAGTAGATGAAATGACATCACGTGTGCTGCAGCTCGAGGATGGAAGCAACGCGCGAACACACTGACTCACCTCCAAGATTTCCTCTCGGTCACGGAGAAATTCGCGTCGCTCAAGGCGCCCCTTGGATCGACAGCCTCCGCTCCCCCTCGCTTGCGACTCGCACAGCGAGGAGCTCTCAGCTGGCCAATCCTCTTCTCCTGATGGCTGCCAACAGAGTGTCGCAATGGCTAACACTAGAAAATGAAAGTGACTCTCTTCTATCAACAAGATCCACCCTGAGCCGAATAAGTTAGTTCTTGATTAGACTGAAGTGAGTTTCTTGGCAGTTCACCATGGTTCACGATTCCTGTTGCTCACAGAAGCTTCCGCCGAAGCACCTGCACCTGATCTGGTCTGCACGGTTAACTGGTTTTACTCCGGACCGATTTACCGAAATGTCTCTTGCAACACACGCAGTAAACCGAGCGGTTTTTGACCCTACAGGCTAGGTTCAGCCCAACTTGGCCCAAGGAATGCAGAAGCATCCGGATCCGGACGCAGGGGCGCTGCTTTTAGCCTGCGCAAAGATCGGCTGAACCTGTACGGCACAGCGGTCTGAGGAACGTCTCCGAAACGGTGAAGGTTCAACGGGAGACCCTAAATACAACCGATTCGCCACACCCTTGCCTCCAGATCTTGGCACTTGTCACAATGTGAGTGCCAATCGCGGGTCCTAAGAGCACTTTGAGAGCTTCGGCGGCCATATATGCCGCTAGTGTGGCGGTATGCAGAAAAACGAGGGTCCAAATGTGACTCTGATCTGAGTTCTCAAGCGGCTAGCGCTACTACATTGCAGTCAGATTGGAATGTACGCCAAGATTAGTGTTTATTGGTTTCGAAAGATGTGTAAACGGGAAAAGTCTGAAGAAATTGACTGTCATCACCATAACAGGACTCGAACCAGGGACCTTCGCTTGAGGCCAGCGATGCTCCAGTCTGACCACTGAGCTATAGTGTAGCTAGCTGTCATCCCAGCAGATCAGAAACCATTCAACATTTTCTTCAGACTTCGATCTGTAAATCTGTATTTTGTTTGTAGAAGATCGACCAAATGTTTCCTTCAATGGAAGTGACGAGCCGCCATGCAGGATCAGGAACATCGGCTACCAGTCCCCTGCTCCAGAGTGATACCGGCAGACTTCACTTGCGCTCTGAGAGCTCAACTACAAGTAGTTGCTTGCCAGAGCACATAAGTGACATAACCCTAGTGTACTGCTGTTGCTACACAGCACGAGTTGTCTGCATCCAGTAACTTGAATAGGATCGGCAAGGTAAGAAGCTGCATAGTTTGGTTGTAAACCAGAGTTCAGGCTCTTCACAATCAACTTTTTAAAAACCTTATTCCACCGGCACTCACTTTAATTTTTGTGAAGCTTCACTCCTGATCCTCACCTCCAATAGCCGTCTCTTCACTGTAATTCAAATTTATATTTAATACACCGAATTTTCCAGCCTGACCCATCATCACATTCAGGGTAATAAAAATAACAACTTGAGATCCATTGTGTAGATCTACCAGTAACATTGCCTTGTCTTCAGGTGAGATACACAGGTGAAGAAGAAACGAATCACTACGGTGCTACAATACTGCTCTTTTACTAGCAACATAGTACTGACATGTCGGGCGCCGAACTCGGAACGACCAGGCTAGAATTTCACTGAGCACAGCATACCATTAATATAGGCACCGGCGGAGTATGCTCGAAAAGGTTGCAGATTCTGCTCGAAAAGCAGTGAAATTGACAGAACCATACAAACCTTATGACGGGCAATTCCTTGAATTCTGCTCCATTTCTTTATCCACATATCAAACATGCATGAAACTTACCAGATATAGTACCGAATTCTGCCAATTTTTCTGCCGGCACAATCCGCCGGTGCCAAATGTATATACAGCGACACAATTCCGCATAGACCGTAATACTTGAAAAGTAAGAACGGCCTGGGCTACAATTATAGGAGGCTGACCTCCAATTCTTCGGCGACCGACAGTACTGTCACTGTGGGTGATATAAGCAGCAGCAGGTGGAAGGTGGATCAGTGAGAATCAACACGGGAGAGTGGTTTCACATCTTGGTCATGTGACTAAAACTGTGGGTTTGTGTAGAAAGTGATCATGCAATGTGGACAGTGGAACCAACATGGCCAACGTCATGTGACCCATAGATGCTAGGGTTGAGTGGAGCTGTAACCAACCTGTCCCCTTGGAAAAACGCGATTCCGCGGCCGCTGCAAATTTCGCAGAAGTTGCCATCATCCGCGGAAATCACGGAATCCACACTTTTGCCCGCGGAATCTGAATTTTTTAGGGTAAATTACTAAATTTGCTACTCAGAAAGCAGCAGAAAAACTACTTTGCGACTGTTTGAGCACATTTCTCTTGCCAGTGCAGGTCTCTACAAGATTCTTCGCTCTTATTCAGTTTGTGACTGCAAAGGATAGTATGAAAAGTGCTCCTTCATGCGATTAATTGTCATATCCTCTACGAGGAGGGTGAAAAACTTGCAGAAAGTGCCGCAGATTTTTGATTTTACCGCAGAAAATGCCGCAGAAAACCCCCCTTTTCCCCGCGGAATTTGCCGCGGAATTTTGAATTCTTCGCCGCGTTTTTCCAAAGGGATAGACCAACATGGCTGGCTGGCAGTGGCTGCCCTGTATGGTCATGTGATAGATGTGAGAGCACTCTATGGAGTAAAGTGATGATTCTGACACACATGGAAACATTGCAAATCCTACTGTCATGCACTAGCTGATGAAAGCCTGAAGAGGTGTGATCATGGAGATGTAACCATGTTCATTGTACTAACAATCAGAGATGACAAGTAAACCACACTAGCGATGTGTGAATGTCCTAACCAACACCCAACAGCCTGAGCTTGAATGTATGTTTGGTCTCTGCCACCATAGGTTTGGTTTTCTTGTATGCAGAATACCGTATATGACGTCACTCAGTAGTCCACCACCTCAGTACTGGGCCACCACCTCTCTATACCGGTATGTGTTCACTTCTCTACATGTCGTCGCCTGTTTACTTGGTGCCTATATGGCTTCACTGCGACTTTCTCTATAATGTAACTCCAGGTCATTCTCTATATAACTCCAAACGCGACTTTCCCTATATATCTCCACTCAGGTTGAGACTTTCTCTGTATGACTCCAACTCAGATTGCCACCTGCTCCATACAAAACCTGAGTTGGAGTCATACAGAGAAAGTCTCAACCTGAGTGGAGATATATAGGGGAAGTCGCGTCTGGAGTTATAGAGAATGACCTGGAGTTATATAGAGAAAGTCGCAGCGAAGCCATATACTGTAAGACATGTTATTATAACGAGTCGCAAATTTAACGATTGTCCAAAATTCATAGGTTAACGAGAAGATATGTTAACGATCTTGCAGTATTCTGCCATATCCACACACAGCATATATGAAGCAGTACGGCCTCAACGGATCTTATTATAACGAAGAAATGTCATCCGTTAAAACGTTAGATTTGCTTCCTCGTTATCAAGAGTACATAACCCCCCAGAGTGTGCAACTCCCACATACCCTGCTGTCCCGACAGAATTTCAAGTTGACGTCATTATTTATGACGCAATGCTCCTTGCACCAGTGATTTACAATATGTGTACGGGTGTCAACGCATCACACGTTTTTCTTTGCAATAATTTGTACAGGATCGATCGGCTTCGGTCAACCACAGGTTCCGGATACGTCTGATAATCCGTGTACAGTGCGCATTGCATCATAAAAATGACGTCAACTTGAAATTCTGTCGGGACAGTACCCATAGTGGAGTTGCACACTCTGGGGGGTTATGTACTCTTGTCGTTATATATATACATGTCTTACAGTAGGCACGAAGTAAACAGGTGATGACATAATATAGAGACAGTAGAGAGGTTCTGCACAACGAAAATTCGAACGAAGTTTCGCGACAGGCCTTGCGAAAATGTGTACGAATTTTCGCACGAACTTTTTGTTCTGCACATTTTCGTAGTTTGCACGCACCAAGTGCACGTACGACATGACCCAATCTCACGAAACTTCCTACGAAAGTTCATTTCGCGTTCCCTGCAAGTTTCGCGTCCAAAGTTGCGAAAGTTCGTGCGAAGTTTCTCACTTCGTGACGTAGAGCGAAAGTTCGTACACATTTTCGTTTTGCAGAACCTCTCTAGTGACGACAGAATTTGTCGTCACCGTTAATAGAGAAATGATGCCATACTGAGTGTAACATATAGAGGGTATGCAGAACATTCAGCAATTTTGGATCTCAGCTTGACGAGCGATCCCTGATGTGAGCGATCTCGGCCGTTCAGCAAAATGGAGCTAATTCCGAGTAGCCGATTACTTTCTTGTGGCTTGCGCTGCTCTTGCCTGCACAGCGTAACAAGATCATCTATTTTGATGCGGCGCTGTATCAATCAAAATCACTCACCCGTCGCTGTCGAAATCCACTCGAAATCTAGCTAGACCTTTCAGGTTCTAGTCAACTAACTTACTAACCAAAATTGGGATGAAATGGGCTGCAAAGTGAGCATTGGCGACATATAAACAAAGCTGAAAGATAAGCGACAATATCGCTGACGCGGACCAAGTACAATTAGGTAATCCTCCAGGCAAAGTTCTAGGAAGGTGGCAGAATCACTGCCAAAGTTACACCATATGGAAACTTGTTTCCTGCATGGTCTGAAAACAGATCTTCTGTGACTCCTGTGATCTAGCTCACCTCCTTGGAACATTGAGAACTGCTGTGTCGGACTTTTCAGTCGAAAAGTTGGAATCATTATTGTGAAATGAGTTGAACTATTGCATATAAGCCGCCTGATGATTGCAGTGCGCAAGAAACTCTGAGTTGCGACAAATCTGTAAACCTCTGTTGTACGTTTTGTGTGTACTATGTATGTGTGTACAGTAGTAGTAAAATGGAAACAAGGGAAACGGCAGTGCACAAGTTATGCGTCTCAGTTCCCCAAACCAAAACCAGACCAGATTTTGAACGATCAGACGTGAACAAGGCTGCACCAGACTGTTCACAATCTGGTTTAGTTTTGTGTACTCTAGCGCGCAACTTGTGCACCGCCGTTTTCCTTGTTTCCATTTAGTATTTCCCTTGGTTCACCATCTGAGTAAGTGCATGTAGTGGCGTGTGTGTATGCAATCCAGTACTGACTGTTTCCGAGAAGTCAGAACGTGATAAGAACGCTGCCAAGTTGCTCGGGAGTCCAGGAGATAAGAACGTCCCAGGCTGACTTCTTTGAAATGACCATCTTGGGTGCTTGACTCTAGGCGGTGGTGATAAAGCAAGAATGTGTTCTCTTATCTGCTAACGGACAAACAGCATGTAGTGTAGGGGAGCTCTGCATCGGCCGACCAGTTTGTGTGCATATGTGCGTGTGTGAATGTGTGTGGTCTATG